CTGCAACCCAGCAGCGGTGCAGCCTGGCAGTACTACAGCCTGGTGATACTGCAACCCAGCAGTGGTGCATCCTGGCAGCGGTGCACCTCAGCAGTGAGTGCTGCCGGAACTGCAAGCAGGAGCAGGAAGAAGATCAATGGCCACTGGAACGAGATAGAGTGCCACACTTTTAGGATGGGTAGGAATCAGTGAACACATGGAGAGAAAAGTAAGGTGCAGGGGCATAGTGATCGGAAGCAGGTGAATCATATTGACTATGAGATCTTTGACTAACATGGGCAAATCAGGGAGCCTTGGCTGACAGATGTAAACAGGTGATTCAGAGAGTCTCCTGACTTCAGGGACTGACTCTGAGCTGGGTGGTCACAGCCAATTTTCATGTGCACATGTAAATAAAGGATGTCTTGGTGATAGGATACTGACCTCTGTGCAGTTATTTCAATAGGAAATTGTATTTTGAAAGGCAGGCGATGAGCAATCAAGAGAGGATGATGTCTTGGTGACAGTTGGTCCCAACACATTTGCCAGCATTTGGTTCAGATCCCTCTAAACCCTTCCTATTCACACACCCATCCAGAAACCTTTCAAATTACATAATTGGACCCACCTTCCATTCTTCCTCTGGCAGTTCATTCCATACAAACAACACCCTCTGAAGCCATTTGGGCCTAATGTAAATTCTATGCAAATGGATGAAAGAATATTTGACAGTACATGGCTGACTTCTTGTGTGTTCTCTCAGAGCCAGAGGCTCCCTATGTAGGGACACAAGCCTCCAAGGAATGTTCCATAAAACCATAAGATAAGCTGCAGAGTTAAGCCATTTGGCTCATTGAGTCTGCTCCACCATTCGATCATGAGATGTTTCCCAGGAGAAACAATGTATAACTTTGAAATGACAGCCATATATAACATGAAAATTTCATCTTTATTGAATGTGGCTTTTAACTTAATTTTAATGTATCTTAACTGTTGCAAAAATTGTAATTTATGATAATGTTTTAGTGTGTACCTGAATGCTGAAGGCAGGACTGAGGTCCACAGAACAAAGAGGTCCTTTTGCTTCTGAAGTCCAGTCCCAGATGGACACACGCTTAAAAAAAAAGTACAAAAAGCTCAATTTGAGGCACAATAACATGAACAAATAATGAAGGACAAAATTCAATTTTCTTTTCAGCAATAACGTTTTATATCTTTGTTGAATCTCTCCAATCACTCTCCCAAAGCATTGAAATGGATCTAACCAAGATCACAGACCAATTTCAATGTGTTTGTAGTGGATCATCCCACCTCACCCTCATTATCCAGCTCCCACAGATAGTCCTCCCTCGTTTGTGTTCACAACTACCCCATCAGAGCTACTACTCCAACCCTGCACTCTATTGTCTCACAAAGATTTATTTTTGCCTCTTCCTCTTTATTATACTCATGTTCTTCAACTTCATTTTGAGACACAGGCTGGAATTTTCAACAGCTCTTGGGGGCTGGAACAGGAGCGGTGTACTTTTAAGCTAGCTCATCCAGAAAGCTTGTAGGTACCCCAACCCATCCAGGACCTGCTAGATTATTCAAAGTGAGAGTGAAGAGGGAGAGTCAAGGACCCATTCACCTAAATTAACAGCCCTGAGGATCTTTTATTTTCTTTATAATTTCCTTCAACTAATGAATGAGAGACCAAATCCATTGTTACTAACTCAATATCCCAGGAAACAGTTCCATCCTCTTCACGAACCAGTGATTCAGGTTCTAACAAACCATTTTCCAGACTGATATCCTTTTTAACCTTGAGCTGACTTTCCAACTCATAACTCATCCATCACAAATACTGGTTACTTTCAAATACGTAACATCACCTGCCTCCATTCCTAGTTCAGCCCAGCAGTTCCTACTTCAACACTTGCAGATGCAATGATTCCAGTACATCTCACCAAACCTCTAATTTTCCATTTTCCATCAAATTGTCATCAAAGAAACCTCTGCTGCCTATATTATATCTTATCAAAAATTGGTTAAGCATCAATTTTCGGATTTTCATAGAAGGTTTCTTTCCATGAGTTCTAGCGAGCCTTCTCATGCAGTTTTCCATGGCTTTCCTCATTACTTATGTAGCACACCTCAATGATGGCTAGTTTGTACTATTGTGGATTCAGCGATGATAGAACTAACTGCCACTACTGGGACTCCCAGCACCAGCACCATATTTAAAACCAGTTGTATACTAGGTTAAGAACTACCAACCTGGAGCTGCCCTTCAAAGTACAGGTGGTTGAAGCAGAATTTGAAAAAAAGAGAAGCTTCTGAGGGCACATGGGTAGCACAGGTGACACTCCATTGCAACTATAGGTTCATATTTTCATTATCACCCGTCTAATCGAATGTCATTGTAACTAGCTACTGGAATCCAAGCTACACAGATTACCCATCCTTAGCGCAATACTATCTTAGAGCCCTATTTAAGGGAATGTCCAGAGCAGCATAACAGTGTTCAATGTGGAAGTATCACAAAGTGGCAAGTCTTCAAATGGTTGAAAATGTTCACTTTGATTCAACAGGAAAACCAAAGAAGAAACATGCAAACAGAAAGCAGCACTTGCTCTGGGAACAGACAATGAATGATCATTAAACCCAGCTCATATCTATAGGTACCAGGTGCCAATTGAGATCTGGCTTGTTGTATCTGATGCTGCACTGCTTGACCATGCTGAAGGTGATGATCTTCCTGCTCAATGTCCTCACCTACCTCCACTCAGACTGCTGCCACTCTCCCAGCTCTCCAGAGTCCATCGCATCCCCTTTTTGTGTGCTCCACAACCTGCTAGAATTATATGGTACGCTTTGTCTGGACTATACCACCAGGCCCTTCCAGACCAACTCAAGCATCGGAATCTCATCTTCAGGAGACCTATTGTCTGTACTATGATGGCCCTGGAGGAACAATGGGTTGTATTGGATCTACATGCTGCCTCAATCAGGGGTTGCATAATGGATTTGTCAGCCCTGGTTGCAGAGGGTAACCCTTGTCCTAACCATCCAACCCTGAAACGAATCAGGAACATGAGAGTTCTGAAGGATTTAGAAATCAAGGCAGCAGGGGGGTGGATTTCATTGGGCCCCCTTCCTTATGTCCTAGGCCTCGATAAGGCGCTGATTGCTTTTGATTGAGAGACCTCAACCAAACCCCATCTACCCCCAATATTCACTCCATTCAGTTGACAGAATTTCCGGCCATGCATGGCTGGGTTAATCCCAACAGCAGTAGGATAAGACCCTCAAGTGGATATTAATTGAACATTAATTCCTTAATTGGAAATGTGACAGGAAGGTTGACAATGGACCTCTCCCATCTTCTCTATGACCTAATTCTGTTGGAGGCGGGTGAGTGGCAGGATTCAGGTACAACACTAGCCCACCTAATTAAATGCCCTTCCCACCTCCAAACTCACCATTAGCAAGAGCAGGATTTACCTATTGGCAGTGAAGAGTGACAAACCCCCAGGACCAATGTTTTTCATCCTCGGGTTTTAAAGAAAGGTGGTGAGAGCACTGCAGATGCCCAAACTGTGTCCTTGTAAAATTCTCTTGTTTCAGGAACTAATCTTTCAGATTAATTGCATATGTTGTTTTGCAGTTTAAGGAGAATGACATAGGGAAACCAAGGAATTATAGACCAGTTGGACTAAAGCCTATTATCGGGAAATTACAGAAATATATAACAAAGTATAGAATGATTGAATATCTCGAAAATAGCCAGGTGATCAGAAAAAGCTAGGATCTGTGACAGGGAAGTTGTATCTAAAAACTTGGTCAATTGTTTTGATGAGGTAACAAAAGGAATGTCAATTAATGTTATTTGTGTGGATTTCCAGAGACCTTTGATAAAGTTCCTCATTAAGAAACATTCAGTTGGAGTCCACGCTTTTGTTGAGAGTTTTATTTCAGTTAGCCTCACTCCATAAAACCCATACCCCAGTTTATCTTTTTATTCTAGGACTGCTCTTGCATATAACTGAATTATTTTCATCAATTAAATTCCACTGTTTACTGACTCCCCATACAACCAATTCAAATCCAATTATCTCTTAATTAATATATCCATAATTTCCACATTTCTTAAGGTCTCAGCCATCCTTCAGGATAACAGATAACAGATTCCCCTTTTTCTTTTCAGATAAATCAACCTATAATAAAAGAAAACAAACAAAAGACTACAGATTACGTTCCCATATTTTTCTTTGCACATTGCAGTTCAGAGCATTCTTTTTCCAGTATATCCATCAGTTTCTTAGAACTTGCTGCTTTCTTTGTAAAACAATAAGAGACTGCTGCTATCCACTCATTTCAATTTGGGGATCTCCATTCACCATCATCTGCCTCAAAACTGCAATATTGACCAATAGTCTGTTTTCAGATGGTGGCTCAGTTGATAGCACTGCTGCCTCAGAGTGCCAGGGACCTGGGTTCAATTCCACCCTTGCATGATTATCTGTGTGGTGTGGAGTTTGCATATTCTCCCTGTGTCTGCGTGGGTTTCCTCTGGGTACTCTGGTTTCCTTCCACAGTCCATAGATGTGCAGGTTAGGTGGATTGCTAAATTGCCCTTAGTGTCCAGCAATGTGTAGGATAGGTGGATTAGCCATGGGAAATCCAGGGATTGGGTGGATCTGGGTGGGATGTTCTTTAGAGGGTCAGTGTGGACCCGATGGACCAATGGCCTGTCTTCTCATGTAATGCATAATTCTTTACCAACAACAATATTCTTATTTTGTAGGATAAAGTACCTATGCATGTATTGTCGCAGAGTTAATGAATGAAAACATATCCAAAAAGGTAAATGGAATATCATAATCCTTTGTGTACCTGAACTGTTCCCCTGCCAACTGTTGCTAGGTACTTTGCATCTTGAGTCATAGCCATGGCACCAACTCCATTCTCTGGATGACAATCAAACAGTGTTTGTACAGGTATACTGGAACGCAAAAGAGCAAAGAGATAGTGATTACAAAATAGATCATTACAATTTACATAAACAATTATATGCAACATATCATCTCCCTATATGAATATGGAAAAAAAAAATTTCAAAACAAATATTGGCTCAGTAAACATGAAGCACGTTAATGCTAGAAATGGAATCTTTCATTTACCCAGCATTAGTATCAAGCAGCCCCACCATCCCATAGTTAGATACAAAGCTTTTGCTTTGTAGCTCTCAAAGGCACATCACAAATTCAAAAGAGATATGCCTCAGTGAGATATTTTTCCACTTCTTACATCAGCTATTTGTGGCCTTACTGAAACTGCTAACATAAGAGGAGTACTATTTTCAACCTATTTAGTCCTGGGCTGCAGAAACATCCTGTCAAAGAAATAAACTGACATTATCCAAATTAATTTCTCATAGGAACTTATGGTAGGCCAGGAGAAAGAGAATGTTAGTCTGTGCCAGACGTTAATTCAGAACACGACTTTGTAATTCCTGTCCCAACACAAAATTTATTTTCAACACTAATTAAGCATTCTGCCTGATAAACGACTATATTTTTACATTGATTGAGGACAGCCAGGCTTCGGATATGTGTAGCGCAAAACAATCAAGTCATTCGCCATGTTATCAATGACAGTGATACATTTTATGCTAACTGACAGCAGCTTTTGAAAGTTACAAAGGGTCACAAATTGATACATATTGCCAGAAATTGCATAGTACTGCTGTCTAATATTAGCAGTTCACTTTTCTACTCACTATCATTTCTGTAACAAACATAAACCTAATGTTTACAGCACAAGATAAATTTTAAATATTGCCTTGAATACAAACTCCTGGGTTCCCAGGGTCATCCATGGTGCTACAAAGTGGTTGAATACGTTCTTATATAATGTCAGCAATCCTACTGCACTGCCAATCTGTCAAAAGCAGGAAGGAAAAGTGGAAGGAGAATCACCCTGAAGTATTCTCAGACATATTTTAACAATCTAGTTAAGTACAGAATTACCACAGGCTTGAAAAGATGTTTCCTGTACTGTTAAACACTAAGCAAGTGTAAAGTTCAAAAGTAATGAAAAGGGAACAAAATAAAACATTTTAAATGGATCATTTAAAACAACAAAAAAATTCCATATCACAGGGACAGGTAGAATTCAGTTCAAGAACACTGGTCATCAACCTTTCAAACTTACCCTGAGAAAGTGTCCCACACAATGACTAGACTCTCCGGGCTTTGGTCTGCTGTTGCCACCCATCTCCTATTCCCACTCACAGCTATACATGAAAGTGGACTACAGTGACCCTAAAGAGGAAATTACATTTTGTTACACAAGAAGTAAAAAAGAACCTGCTTTTTTTAAAAAAGTGCTTTAGATTTTCTATGCTACTCTGGATACCTGGGTTTTTTTGTTCCTTCATGGGATAGGGCCAGATTCTATCATCCATCCCTAATTGACTGAAAGACTTGTTTGGGGATTTCAGTGCACAGTTAGGAGTCAATCACATTTCCAGGGGCCAGGAGTCACATATAGTGAGTAAAGATGGTAGATTTCCTCCCTGCTACAGGACATTAGCAAACAAAAGGATCTTATGCCAATCATTTTTATTCCAGATTTGTCTAATAATTGAAATTTAAATTCCTTGGCTGTTGTAATGTGTTTTGAACTCATCTCCAGATCATTAATCTGGATTCATAGACCATTAACTGCTGTATCAATTATGATTAATGTTTAGTAATGCATATCAAAATGTGATACCCATTATTAATAAGTGCCTAAGCATTAAACTATTTAAGAAAGTATCTAAAGTATTACCTTATTAGTTATTTTTAATATTTTTGTGATATACAGAGAGGGTAAGAGGAAAGAAGTCTAGTTGTGAGGCACAAACACAAGGCAGAGATAATAAATAAATATTTCTGTGGATTTTTACATATTACAGCTGAAAGGAAAAATTAATGTACTAAAGGAAGAAGAACCAGCTTCAGCAAAGGACCTTTTGAACATTTTAGCAAAATTTGTGATGGTTAAGTCATTGGATCAAATTAGCAAGTAGCTTAGGCTGTTGAAAAAAGGCAAAGAAGATGCAACAGAGTTCAGGCTGCATTTTATTTAAATCCTTTAAATGTGCAAATAATCCTGCAGTGTTGCAGAATATCCTAAATTATAAATTTGTTGAAGAAGGAAAAGAAGGACAAATTGCTTTACCACAGACCAACATGTCTAAACAATGCTAGCTTTTGTAGAGCTTGTTAGAGTGGGCAAGCTGGCATAGGGGGTGGGCAGGCACAAAGATTTGCACAGAAGGCCATGCATTAGATTCCTGAAAACTGTAAGCAATTATGTCAGTGGCAAGAAGGTAATAAAATGGAAAACTTGACTGTAAACTGCAGGAAGATCATGGATATGCTTTATTGCCCACTTGCACATCATTTATACATAATTCAACACAATTTAGCCTGACTTCCCCAGTTTGTTTCATGCCTCTGTAACTTGTCCAGTGAAAGTTGGTGACTTGCATGTGGCTTACTGTGCCAGTACTTTGGACTTAAACAAGATTATTTCACAGGGCACTTGATTGATTTTGGAAATTTCTCAGTGTAAAATCTTGTTCAGCTGACACTATAAGGGAGGAAACCTCAGGCAGGAAGTTCAAGCTCCAAATTTCAAAGTGGCAATGATTTGACTTGATTTGCTTTATTATTGTAACATGTACTGAAATACAGTGAAAAGTATTGTTTTGTGTGCTAACCAGACAAATTCCACCCTCGGGCGACTGTCTATGTGGAGTTTGCACATTCTGCCCTGGTTCTGAGGGAGCTTGACTCCACCCATTCAGGCCGTTTAGAACATAGAACATAGAACAGTACAGGCCCTTTGGCCCACGATGTTGTGCCGAACTTTTACCCTAAACCTAAGGTCTATATAGCCTCCACCGCTACCTTATACTATCATCCATATGCCTATCTAATAGCCGCTTAAATGCCCCTAATGAGGCCGACTCCACTACCCTCTCCGGCAATGCATTCCACGCCCCTACCACTCTCTGAGTAAAGAACCTACCTCTGACGTCTCCCTGATATCTACCTCCACTCACTTTAAAACTATGTCCCCTCGTAAAAGCTACCTCCACCCTAGGAAAAAGTCTCTGGCTGTCCACTCTATATATATCTCTGATCATTTTGTACACCTCTATCAAGTCACCTCTCATCCTTTGTCGTTCTAAAGAGAAAAGCCCTAGCTCTCTCAACATTTCCTTGTAAGACCTTCCCTCCATTCCAGGCAACATCCTGGTAAATCTCCACTGCACCTTTTCTAATGCTTCCACATCTTTCCTGTAATGAGGTGACCAGAACTGGACACAATACTCCAGATGTGGCTGAACCAGGCTTTTGTATAGCTGGAGCATAACTTCATGGCTCTTGAACTCAATCCCTCTATTAATGAAAGCTAACACACCATACGCCTTCTTAACAACTCTATCCACCTGGGTGGCAGCTTTCAGGGAACTGTGGACATGAACCCCAAGATCCCTCTGCTCCTCCACACTGCCAAGAATCTTTCCGTTAACCTTGTATTCTGCTTTCAAGTTTGTCCTTCCAAAATGAATCACCTCACACTTTCTATTATTCCAACTTTTTAAAAAAAATCCAAGGCCTCACAAGCTGTTTACTTTATTGGCTTTGAGCAGACTGCTTATTACCTCCTTCTCGACCTTTCTTCATTAAAAAAAAGGACAAAATACACCTCTTAAGGCCACATTAGTCAAGGCCAATTAGTAGAATTTGTTAGAGCTAAATCATTTTTGCCAAATTTTAAAAGCTTTTTGGAGAATCACAGATTTACAGCTCAGTAATAATCCATTAGACCTGAGAGGGCTATACTGGTTTTACATTCCGCATGAGCCTCCTCCCACCATCATCTCATCCCATCAAAATACTTGACCAAAAAACAAACAAAACTATATCAATTATTACATACCTGTAAGAGGTGTTGACGAGTAATTGAAAAGTTGTTCATGACTGCAGTGTGAGAAGAAGCATAAAGGATCAACCTCCGGTTATCAATATGTAGAGCATGCACTGGAGTATCTCGATTTATTCCAAAAGACCATACTAAGTTCTGGTAAAAGAATACAAATCTGTGCTATGTATGTAAATGATTTATGCTGCTAAAACTTAAACAATTATGCATTCCAGCAGTTAATATAATGTTGAAATCACAATGTGTAAATATCTATTAGAAATTCAGATATCTATACTTTCAATGCAACCATATATTTCCAGTTGCATTTTTTCAAAAATACCTCAAGTAATAATGCTTACCAAAAAAAAAAGTGAATTTGAACTATTTTTCAATATAACTAATTTGTTTATCAATGCTGAAGTAACATTTTACAAATGTTAGGAAACTGAGATTGTGTTTGGCACAGTGCATTGGAATGCTAGCATGAGATTACAACCAGGGTCTCTCATCTGATAAGCTCACCTTCTCAGATGGGAAATATCCAAAAAGAAATTGAACCAAACAAGTTCATTCACCTCCCGATGACTTCTTTAAGAACAGTACTGACAAAGTTTTGGAAAGAATTGTCTGCTGTCTTAGTACATGCCATGAAGGGAAAATGTAAAAGCGGAGAGACAGGCATTAAAATTGTGAAAGAGAGGACAGGCAGTATTCCTTGCTATTAGAAAAAATTAATTTCAGAAGGTGGCAATAACAAAATCATTTCTTACCAAAGAATTTTGTTTAATGTAGGATTTTTCTTCAAACACAGTATCACAGATGGCAGTCTCAACCAATGATGCGTCTGTTTCTAACATAGAATCATCTGCTGCACAGCTGCATAGATCACTCGCCAATACATTAGGTACGCAAAATGCCGGATCAGGACGTAGCCTTGGCGGAGCAGAGAAAGTTCGGATTTCCTCTACCGCTTCCTGACTAACAGTTCCTTGGCCATCCTTCATTAGATACAAAGCAAAAAATTAAACATTTAAGTCCCAATGTTCTAAACAGGCCATCCATAATATGTTCCATCTGGTAAACACCTTTATACAGTAGGAAAGAAATGTTTGAAAATAATTACAAACCAGACTCCACCATAAATTTCAAATATCCTGTCATCATCAATATGATTACTCAAAACAAAATCTGAGATTATTATGAACAAGCTATCAAATAAAACACTCTATATGATTAGAATAAAATATTTGATGTTGCCTGCTGTGAAGGTTTGAAATGTTGGCCTGAATTATTCCAAATGCCTGTTTAATAGAGTGATCAAACTTACCATTTTCTGGAGTCACCGGATGAGATACTGTCCCCAGAATAGTGCAACTTCACAAAACTCATCTCTGAACAACGTTCCCTCTGAATTTTCTTTGTTCTGGCCATTAAAAACTCCTCTGTACACCACAATTTGCCAAAGGCAGCTTACATTTTAAAGTCACTGAAGTGATACAAAGTTCTGCAAGTTCTGTTCATTTTAATATTTTATTTTAATACTACTTTCTAGATTGCTGCACGGCCATGGACGCATGCCCATTAGAGCAAACATTATTCTTCATTTACTGGTTCCTTCCACTGTCCACCCCTGACAGGTACCAATCCATCTCTCCTCAAATAAGTCACATTATATTTCTAATTTCACACATTCCAAACTAACTTCTCTTCTTCACACAGTTTCTGTTTTCCCTCTTGTCACTTGTTAGATTGCACTACTCCTCTAATTGGCCTTGGAGTAATTCTACTCTCATACATCCCAATCTGCCTCTGCTCACACGGTTCTCAATAATCTGATTCAACCTTTCTTTTACAAATACCAATCTCTCTGACGTTATACACACTTATTTTATCCCTTTTTACATACATCTTCTTTCCCAGTTTGCTTGATGCTACTTCCACTTATGATTGAGTTTTAGCCACTCTCACTCCAACCACTCTTGCTTGTGCAGATGAAAGTTGATACTCATTCCCAGAATTGGCTCTAGTTTGCTGTTTTTTTTAAAATCTTTGAGGGGCATGGGCATCATTGGTTAAGCCTTCATTCATTGCCCATCCATAAATACTTTTGAAAACATCACAGTGAGCTGCATTCTTGAACTGATACAGCCCACGCTTGTGGGTGCTGTTCAACAGAGTGAGGATTTTGATCCAGCAACAGTGAAAGAATGACAGTATAATTCCAAGTCAGGATGGTGTGTGGAGGGGAACTTGCAGATTGTGGCATTCCCATGTATCTGTTGCTGTGACTTTCTGGTGGTCGAGGTCACAGATTTGGAAGGTACTGTCTAAGGAGCTATGGTGATTTGTTGCAAGGCATCTTGAATAGTCGATGGCATACACTACTACCACTATGCATCGGCGGCGATGGGTAAGAGAACATTGAAGCAACAGTATTTATATGTCTGGCCCAACTCAGTTGGATTTGTTGGTTGGATTTATCCTGCTTTTTGTGTAATTTTCACATTGCCAAACAGATCCAATTGTTCTAAGTGTACTAGAACAGCTTGGCTAGGAACATTTCTAGTCTGGAGAACAAATTTTCAATCATTTTGCCAGAATGTTGTCAGGGTCCATAGCCTTTGCAGTATCCAATGCCTTCAGCCGCTTCTTGGTATCTCATGGAGTGTATCGAAATGGTTGAAAATCGGCATCCGTGATGGCATGGACCTCAGGAGGAGGCCGAGATAGATCATCCACTTGGCACTCTGACTGGAGATACAAACAAATGCCTCCGCCTCATCTTTAGTACTGATATCCTGGGCTCCCCTACAACTGAAGATGGGGATGTAGGTGGAACATCCTCCTCCAGTGAGATAACGAACTGTCCATTTCCTTTCACAACTGGATGTAGCAGGACTGCAATGTTTAGACCTGATCCAGTGGCTATGGGACCACTTAGCGCTGCCTATTGCATGTTGCTTACAATCTTTGGTAAGCAAGTAGTTCGGATTGATAACTTCACTAAGCTGACATTTCATTTTTAGAGATGCCTGATGCTGCATTTCGCATGTCCTCCTGCACTCTTCATTCATGGAGAGTATCCTCATGTGACAGTTGTGAAAAATAAACAGATATTTCTGATTGGTGTTATTTATAAATGATACATGAATCACTTTAAAACTGTACCATCAGATTGATGATAACTATATGTATGCTTGTTTTGCATTTGTAGTGTGTATGTCTCACTATCCTGTGCAAACTACATCTTCCACTCTGGCCACTTTGCTGTGTGCCCAAAGTCCATCTGAAAAATACATTTGCCCTGCTATTCAAGCACTAATCCGCAGAACCTGTTACCTTATTCTAGCCCCAATCCTGGGCTGAAAAATCAACATGCTATGATGAACACCTAAACTATTTCATAATGAGAAATTTGTAATACTTCCAGTGATTTCAATATAAATTTACTCAGTCCATCAATTTAAACCACAGTTAATTTACCATTAATTTCTATTCTATTACAAAAAGTGGGTTATCACGGGTGAGGTTAAATACCACACTGGTACAGAACAAGGTGCTTGTTTGATTTTCCACATTTCATGCATGCAATGGAAAATATAAAACAGAACAATCCAAAAGCTATATTGCAGAAAAATATCTTTGTGTTTTCATTGCAACTTCCACCAGACTTCAAATAGCTATCTTTCTTTTTGCATTGATACAACAGATCTGAACAAAAACAAGTGGTATGGCAACACATTCATCTGTATCCATGGGAACAGAAATACAGATTGTATAGCAGTGCTTTATCCTTTTATTGAAAACATATTGGAACATTTTTTATGATTGTCACAAACTCATACACATTAATGCAACTTCTTTCTGCTGAAAAATGCTTAATTATGATTTCAAACAAATCAGCAAATAACAGTATGGGGAGTGTAGGAAGATGGAAACAGTTTCAGTTTGCTCTGGCAAAGAGATGGTACAGATGCAATGAATCAATGTACCTCCTTCTGCGCTGTAAATATCAATGATTTAGGGTGACTTTGAATATGAAACCTCCATTAAAACAAGTTAAAAGTATTAATTTCAAATTTTAGAAAACTATCTAAATGATTGTACACTTTAAAGTTACACAAACTGGCAAAATAACACCTTCAGAAGTGCACAGTAGAATATAATATGAATCATTGATCTGTATATCTTTCTGTGGGTGAGGTAGGAGTTCTAAATGTAAAGTTTTAAAACTTAGAAAATATGCAAACTTAAAGTAAATTATCAGTATCTACCTGTCCTATATCTTGAGAAGTTGAAGTACTGGCCATATTTGAATGACTTCCAGGAGCAGATGGTTGCTGAGCACTGGTCGAGCTTGCAACTGAAACTCCTATGTCCACCTGATCCATTGGTTTATCGACTGACGTTTGTTCTCCAATATTATTATCATGCTTCTTTTCTTCAGCTGGATGGATTTCACTGTCAGGTGATGGAACTGGTGGTTGCCCTGCGGCACTGACTGTTTCTAAATCTTCAGAGACTGCTCCATCCTGCAGGTCAGGACTCTGATTGGCTTGGTTTACTGTACTTTCAGTCATGGTCAGATCATTTGTAGCTAGTTGTCCTGTGTCTTCAGGAGCTAAAGTACTGGCGTTCTCTTCTGCATTTTCAGGGTCAAAGAAAAACTTAATTTTACGTGGAGTTGAACTCGGTGAACTACTTCCTTTATTCTGATCAAGATGCTCTCCAACATTCTTCAGTAATTCTGGTGGAGCTTCAGACTGTTCCTCTGCATCTCCACTTGATACATCTTCAGTCAGATCTTGTTTGTGTTCAGCCATGTTCAAGCGCTAAATTTGAAAAGAAAGTTTCATTAAATAGTCCACAATTCCTAAGTAATAAGCCTTCTATCTCAGTTGTTGCATTAAAGACAATGAAACTCAAGAGGGTGAGAGAAAGACCAAAAATGCAGCCCAGGTGTAGCGGTGGTGGTATCAATGAACATACCATCAATGAGAAATAAGTCAGAAATAAACAATAAGGGAGTATGATAGAGAGAGAGGCATAGAATTACTGGGAAGGAGAGCTGCACGCCAGGACCATTAAGAGATCATGGGATCTAGGAACATAGAGTCATAGAGTTGTACAGCATGGAAACAGACCCTTTGGTCCAACTTGTCCATGCTGACCAAATATCCTAAATTAATCTGAGATAGTAGGAACTGCAGATGCTGGAGAATCTGAGATAACAATGGGCCATTTCTGATGAAGGATCTAGGCCCGAAACGTCAGCTTTCCTGCTCCTCTGATGTTGCTTGGTCTGCTGTGTTCATTCAGCTCTACACCTTGTTATCCTAAGTTAATCGAGTCCCATTTGCCAGCACTTGACCATATCCCTCTAAACCCTTCCTATTCACATGCCCACCCAGATGCCTTTTAAATGTTTACTTGTACCAGCCTCCGCCACTTCTTCTGGCAATTCATTCCATACACGCACCACCCTGCGCGTGAAAAAGTTGCTCCTCAGATCTCTTTTAAATCTTTCCCCTCTCACCTAAAACCTGTGCCTGCTAGTTTTGGACTCTCCCACTGGAGAGAAAAGACCTTGGCTATTCACCCTATCCAAGCCTCTCATGATTTTATAAATTTCTAATAGGGTCATCCCTCAGCCTCTGGTGCTTCAGGAAAAATAGCCCCAGCCTATTCAGCCTCTCCCTATAGCTCATACCCTCCAACCCTGGCAACATGCTTGTAAATCTTTTCTGAGCCCTTTCAAGTTTCACAACATCCTTCCAATAGCAGGGAGACCAGAATTGCACACAGTATTCCAAAAGTGGCCTAACCAATGTCCTGTACAGCCACAACATGACCTCCCAACTCCTGTACTCAATGCACTGACCAGTAAAGGCAAGCATACCAAACACTTTCTTCACTGTCCCATCTACCTGTGACTCCACTTTTGAGAAACTATGAACCTAAACAGGTTTTGTGAATTCTGAAATGATGTAGCGCAGATGAGGGCTTTTAGAATTAGTGTCACTTCGCTATTCTTTGCCTATAGCCCTGCAAATTTCTCCTCTTTAACTATTTATCCAATTCCCTCTTAAAGATGTCCATTGAATCTGCTTCCACCATCTCTTGCAAAGTACAGCCCAGGTCATAATGCATTGCTCCATTAATTATTTTGTCTGATGTTGTCTCAGTTTTTGTTTTAAATTTATGCCTCTCTGAACAGGTTGATCAGAAAAATAGGTTAAATAAAAAGAAACTTTTTAAAAAATAAAGCAGACCATAGGCCCTTTTATGGCGAAATGGTAGTGTCCCTACCTCTGGACTGAAAGCCCTGGGTTTAAGACCCACTTGCTTCAAATGTGAATAATAACATCTTTGAACAGGTTGATTACAAAAAATAGGTCAAACTTTTTTTAAAAAAGCAGACCCAGGGATGAGTCTACAGAACTGTTTAGGTTGGGTGGAGTAGACATGGGAAATACAGGTGAAGGGGAAGGAGTCTGGGTGGGATTTTCTTCAGAGGGGCAGTGTGGACTTGTTGGGCCGAATAGCCTGTTTCCACACTGTAGGGGTTCTATGATTCTATGAACTGTTTTTCCAGGGCTAAGACTAGCCTACGTTGGCCACAAGTAGTGGCTCTACCTTGTGTTCAACAATAAATGACATTCTTTTCCAGTTGTGTTCCCTGAGTTACTACAGAGCAATTCTGCCAAATCTCTTCATAAGCTTTACAGCTCTAAAGATAAGAACCTTAGTTTCTTCTGTTTTGTTCCATAGTTGAGGCTTTCCATCTAGGGTATTATTTGTGCATCTCTTCCTCTCTAATGCTTTGACAGCCGTCTTAAAGTATGGTGTCCAGAAATGGCCACAGTAAGTCAGTTGCGGTTTCAGCAGTCATTCATAATGGTATAATTAAGTCCCCTGGATCTGATGGGTTGCATCTTAGGATATTAAAGCAAGTAGCTATAGAGATAGCGGGTGCACGGGTAATAGTTTCCAAGAATCCTTAAATTCTGGAAAAGTTCAAGAGGATTGGAAAATTGTCAATGTCAGAAAGGAAAAGAGATGTAACTATACACCAGTTGGCTACACAGCCACCTGGGAAAATGTTAGACCTGATAGAAGTTTGTAAAATAATGAGAGGCATAGATAGAGTTAATGGTAGTCATCTTTTCCCAGGGATGGGGGATTTCAAGACTAGGGGGACACATTTTTAAGGTGAGAGGAGAGAGATTTAAAAAAGACATGAGAGGCAATTTTTTTTACACAGAGGGTGGTTCACATGTGGAATGAATGTCTTGAGGCAGTGGTGGATGTGGGTACAATCACAGTGTTTAAAAGACACCTCACTAAGTACATGAATGGAAAAGGTTTGGTGGATATGGGCCAGAAGCAGGCAGGTGGGACTAGTTTAGTTGGGGATTATGTTGGGCATGGACTGGATGGACCGAAGGGTCTGTTTCCACGCTGTATGACTCTATGACTCTGTGATTTTATGACTATAAAGGATGTCATAGCAGACCTTTTAGAAATACATAAAATAATCAAGTAGAGTCAACATGGCTTCATAACGGGGAAATCGTGCCTGACAAATTTATTAAAGTTCTTTGAGGAGGCAACAGGCAGGAGAGGGAATGAGGAACCAGTAGATGTGATATAGTTGAATTTCCAGAAGGCATTTGATAAGGTACTGCAATTTAGGCTACTCAATAAGGTAAAAGCCCAAGGTGTTGGAGATAGTATGTTAACCTGGATAGACGACTGGCTAACGACTGGGATGGCAACCTGTAAGTAGAGGGATCAGAGCTGGGGCCACAATTATAATATATACCAATAACTTGTACTATAGCCAAGGAGAACACAATAATAGTTGGGAAGTGGTGAGGATGTCATAAGGAGTCTACAGAGGGATATGGGCAGGTTAAATGAGTGGTCAAAAACTTGGCATATTGAATATAAAGTGGAAAAATGTAAGGTTACACACTATGGTAGGAAGAACAAAAGAACTGAATATTATTTAAATGGAGAAAAATTGTAGAAAGCTGCAGCACAGAGGGATTTGAGGGTCTTTAAGCATAAATTACAAAATGTCAAATTGCAAAGATTCACCAGGCAATAGGGAAGGCAAGTGGAAACTTGGCCTTTATTTCTAAAGAAATTGAGTCCGATAATAGGTAGGTCTCACTAAATTATACAAGGCATTAGTGAGAGGCAACTTTATTGACATATAAAAGGTGAAATCTAATGGTAATTTAGCTAAGTGACAGTTGTGTTGAGTTTGGTGCAGTGATTCTCATATGAGTCTGTGTTTTCTCCCCATTTCCTACTAAATTGTTGCATTAATTGGTATTTCAGCCCTTATGACAAGTATCACAATATTCCCTTCATCTTACCACGCGCTGTGCCTAAAGCAACTTGCCGCTCACCAGAGACCTCAGGTTGACCAGCACCATATTTAAGAGCCCATTACGGACCCAGACAAGCACTATCAGTCTGGAGCTGCCTTGCATGGCTCCTGACATTTACCCCAAACATGGTAAATGAGGGAAACTAATGCCCTGTTTTGTGGGCATGGTCCTGGAGGTCCTGTTGGGTGGGCTGGTGCACAGGCAGAACTTACCTGTCCTCAGGTCCGGCAGTGGAAGCCATGACGCCAGACGATGTTAACCTCATTCAAGGTTGCCTCCCAGGTTGGAGCACTCAGCTGTCTGCAGGAATGCCCCCGGCACTGCAGGAAGAAGGTCAATGTTCTTCTCCATTCCCCCAGTAAAGTGCTGAATTCTTCTCTCTGATACCTCATACTCACTCTGTCTCTGCGACAGCACACATCTCCCACCAAGGCTCATGTTCTACCACTTGCACTAATGCCTGCAACATCTTCCGTACTCGCCCTCACCCACCCCACTCCTCTAAACCCCCCCTCATCCTGCATGCCTACTGAGTGGCCTACTCACTCACTTGGGAATCTTCCCCATTTGCACCAACAATAATAGCTGTGCAACCCACTGTCATCATCCGTCATTCCAGGAGCAAAAGGGCCCACAGTAGGGCAGAAAGCGTCAAGAGAATTGGTGTGCTGCCCCTCGTTCAACTCCTCACTCCTGCAGAGGATCCTGACTTTGACTGTCCCAAAATACAATCTGGATAGGTATCAAATGCTGCCCTTGACTTACTGTTCTGGGCTCCCCTGATTGAAGGCTATCCCCCTTGACTGGTTTGAGGCTCACTGCCAACCTCAGAAAGCTTCTTGGCTTTGGGTCTGCACTAAATGATACAACAAGAGAGTTGTAACGTGAGCCTGTTATCCTAAACGAGGGGGCAATGCACAAAAAGGCAAGGTAAGGCAAGGCTCTGATAATGTCCAGGGAGGCTCAGAGTGAGTGAGCTCTATGACAGCAGGCAGAAGGCCTTGTGCTGCATCCTAATCCCATCCATGAGCTGGGTCCGTGTCCCTGAACACAGTGTCATTCCGCAGCATTCCGGTGATAGTTGTTAGTGCAGCCTGAGGTGCATCATGGTAGTGCAGAAACATGCTGTAAATGGATCAGAAATGTGTCATGTGGGTTCATGGAGGCTGGCACATGTCAGATGCCTAGGTCCAGGGGAGTGAATCCTGCCTGTGAGCATGCCCGAGATGTCGGTGCCCAGCATTCAAAATGGAGGCATTTTGGAGCAAGCAGCCGCAAATTGTCCGTAGTGTTCAGGGATATGTAGATTAGGTGGGTTATAGGGGGATGGTCTGTGTGGGAAGCTCTAAGGGTCGGTGTGGACTTGTTGGGCCGAAGGGCCTGTTTCCACACTGTAGGGGTTTTATGATTCTATGAACACGCCAAGAACTTGCTCTAGTTTCCATGTTGAATTTTCCTTATGGCCAGTTTATATGGGAAATTTGGCAAGATTGCAAGTAAGTTAGGCTGTTAACAAGGCTTTTAACAAACAAAAAAGAAATTCAATTGGGAACTCACTGCTGCCTGGTGAGAACCTTGCTGCCTGATGAGAACCACTTGAGAAAAACATTCAAGTTGCAGTGAAATGAGCTCAACATCGAGGTGAGGCTCGTCGAACACCTTGCCCAATTCCATCATTCATTTCAGCACAGCCCTCTTCATTCACAGCGTGGCAAGATTCCACCCGTATGATTCTTAGGAGTCCATTGCGTGTTTGGGGCAAAATTGGGATGGTCAGGGTAGATGCTGAGAGGTTGTTTCCCATTGTAGGAGGATATGGAACCATAGGATATAATCTTAAAATAAGGGGTTGCTCAGTTAAAACAAAGGGAGGAGGGATTTCTTCTCTCAGAAGATGATGAATCTTTGGAATTCTTTACCACAGAAGACAATAGAGGCTGGGTTTTTATACATATTCAAGACTGAGACGGACAGATTTTTAATTAATTTTAAACAAAGGTCAAGGCAGGAAAGTGCATTTGAGGCTTATTAGATCTGTCAAGATCTCATTGAATGACAGAGCAGACTCAATGGGCCGAACACCACACTTCTACTCCTACACCCTATGGTTTTATGATCTAATGGTTTAGCATAAAGTCTTCAGTTCATTCTAAAGAAGGGTCACTGGACCTGAAACGATAACTCTGATTTCTCTCCACAAATGCTGCCAGGCCTGCTGAGATTTTCCGGCAATTTCTGATTTTGTTTCAGATTTCCAGCATTGATAGTTCTTTCAGTTTTTTGTCTTCAGTTTGTAGTCCATTCCACTCTAAGTAATGCCAAGGACACTTTAAAACCCTCGTCATCCGGCATCTCTTATAATCCAATTTCCAGCATTTGACCTGTGCTCTTGCATGCTGTAGTTTTTGATGTACTAATCTAAACATATCTTAAATGTCTTGAGAACTCCTGCCTCTTGTAGGTGATGATTTTCAGATACCCACAATGCTCTGGTTGAAAATGATGTTCCTTAAATTCCCTCAAAAACTCCAGCACCTTACATTAAAACTGTGCCCCCTTGTTCGTGACCACTCTGCTAAGGGTAAATGTTTCTCCTTATCCACCCTGTCTATGGTCCTCAGAATTTTGTACATCTTAATCAGTTCTCGCTCAGCCTTCTCTGCTTTAAGGAAAATAACCCCAACTATCCAGTCTGTCTTCATAGTTGAATCGTTGCAGCCCAGACAACATCCTGGTGAATCTCTTCAGCATCCTCTCCAGTGCAATCACCTCCTTCCTATAGTTTGGCAATCAGAACTGCACACTGTACTTCAGCTGTGGTCTTATGTTATATATAATTTCAACACAAGCTCCTTGCTCTTGTATTGAATGCCTTGACAAATAAAGGCAAGTATCTCCTATACTTCTCAAGCACCTTATCCACCTGTCCTGCAGCCTGGAACCATCCATGGACATGCACATTAAGATCCCTGTGATCCAGTGCACTTCCTAGGTCCTATCATTCCCTTGCCTTGTTAGTCTCGAAATGCATCATCTCATAATTTTCAGGATTAATTTCCTCTTTCCACTCTTCAGCACATCTATATTATCTTCCAGAGGACAGCCTTTCCACCCTGTTACCAATTGAGGCCTTAAGTGAGCCTATTAGTTCCCACTTAAGGCCCTCATCTTCATTAAGGTCAGTCACAGGATCCTCTTGAGGTGCAATGGTAGTGTCCCGATTCTGGGACAGGAGGCCTAGGTTCAAGCTCCTCCCATAACTGCACCAGAGATGTGTAATAACATCTCTGAACGGGTTGATTAGAAAATATCGACAAATACTGGCTGAGTCTCGAGTCGCCTAGACTATACTTTGCTTAACATTTTGCATATTCACAATTGCGTATCAACACAATTGCTCTCAACAAATCCTAACCACTAATGATAAGAAACTAGCTGTTAATTTGGAATGCCAATTAAAATATAATTGGAATATATTTATTTATATATTCAATTCTCAGTCTGCCTCTCCAGAGATTACATACATCCAGCCAAATAGGCCCCAGTTCAATGCAGAAGTTGGCATGTTAGGGCTGGTTTCCATGCACCGTGTAATTTTCACTGAATTTAACCCTCACTCACACCTAAATCCCCACATTCCTCAATATTAAAATTCCCCTCAGAGTTTCTGCCATAGATTGTTGCATCACTAATGATCAACAGACTTTGTTTATACCTCAAATAGGCTGGACTAGATTTCTGATTGGTTCCCTTGGACGATACCTAACACCTCTGCAATGACTAATTTGATTTAGCTTTTGTCAAATTGACTCCAAATTCCACAGTCCTGACAGAGGGGCTCACATTGCTGAGTTTGAAGAATAGGATGTCTTCATACTACTGACTTTAAAGAAAATGCAGTGCTCACACTTTCAAGTTGGTATAAGAAGAGGTGAGGGAGGAAGGAGTTTCAACATGCAGTGGAGAACTTTAAGAATGAGGAATTGTTGGAGGAGGCAATTGGTATGCTGAAAGTTAGGCTACATGCAGCAAAGAACAACAATCTGTATTTATACAGCACCACTTCATAGCAAAACATTCAAATGCATTTCATACAAAAGTTATCAAACAAAATTTGACACTAGACCACATAAGGAGCTATTAGGGCAACTGCAATCAAAGGTTTGGTCAAAGCGGTAAGTTTTAAGGAGGAAAGAGATGACAAGAGGCAGGGAGATTGAAGATGGGTATTCTAGGGTCTTGGACTTGGCAGTTGAAGAGACTGCAGATGAGGACAGCATTGGAATAATGGATAACAAAGGCAAAGATAAAAATGGATCTCCACAGATGTGCACTTTGCCTAATGATAAACAGAAGCAGTGCTTTCTGCTCCAGTTCCAGTGGAGTATTTTCATTCACATCAAACCCCAAATAGGGAAATATTGCATTATTTCACATTTTTTATCTCATCAATACATCTACATTTGAAGGGAAGCTAGAAAAACATGTTTGGGTGAAAGGTATGGAGGATTATGCCGATAGGAAGTATCTGAATTCTGGAGAAGGCTCATACAGAGCACAGAGACAGGGATGGTTTTCAATGAGACACATTTTACTCAAGTCTTTAAAATGCCACCTCCTGAATTTCCTTAGTTGTTATTTTCCAGTTTAGGAGGTCTAGTGGCACAGTGGGTGATCCCTCCCTTTGGGTTAGAAGCTTCAGGTTGTGTGTCATAATGTGGGCAAACAGGTTTATTAACAATCTGTAAATCCTTCCAATTGGCCTATGGCAGGTAGCAAGTGAGTTTCCTGACCAACCAGAACCATGTGGGAGCAGCAGTACAACAATCTCCACACATTAAAAGATTCTGTGCATTAAGTTCTTGCTAAAAGCAAGCATCATCCATATTCCACACACACATTCCCCAGCTTGGAATGAAACTAAGCAAAAACCATACAGGTAGTCCTGCTATAACACGTGTTTCGTTAACGCAAATTGGCTGTAACACAGTTGATGAATAGTGGACACTGTTTGGATAACGCGAACTATCTGCTCTACAGGTATAGCAATTTTCAATGGTGATTTCCCTAGAACGTGATTTTCTAGTACCTATGACCCAGATTTCAAACTACCAATCAGTGTTAATATAGCAGATTAATATTATTTACAGTTATACCTCTTGTTTAATGGCTCAGTTCCTTATTAGTCGTACCCTCTCTAAAGAGGGGCACTTTTGTTTGTCTCCTTATGGCTTTTATTTAGAAAACATAAGGAAAATAAAATATTACCCAAACAGGAAACAGCACACGTATCTGTAGAGTAGTTTTTAATTTCCCAATGTAAGCTGTTGAAAGGGCCACTCTTCTGAGGCTGAGTGTACTTGCAGCAACACAGGAAATGATTCCATCAGAGAATAAAAGTGCCTCACTCTCCCACTTTCGAATAATCGTCACTTACCTGTAGAGTTTTGTATTTAAAAATCACCAGCCTGTCTCGACAAGGCCTTTTTCAGTTTATGTCACCACTGCTGTTGCTAGGATACAGGTAACAATCAACTAGTTGCCTTGGCTGCAGATCGGCCAATGATCTCACGATTTCTTCATTGCTGATTGGCTCATTCGTAGGCAGAGATCAATTGATCAGATTTCATCCCAGAATCAAGATTCAGGGCAATTGGTCACCTCATGCTGTTTACACTCTTTGGCCAATTGTATCTACTTTATACATATTCAATTCTCTGCAGCCTTTTAAAAACTTTCATTGGATATTGACATCTTATCAAACAAGTAAAAAAAATGATAATTATAGTAAGAGGTTCTGTATTTGTGTACATCCCGCTTATCCAAATCGGTGCAAGCTTCAATAAGACATTAGAGTCCATTGTGTTAAAGCAATACTGATTTAATTGAAATGTGCTTCTTGTTTGGAGAACAAAAGTAATAAAAAAGATGTTGAAATTGCTCTGTCATGATGACATCAGACTTAAAGATGCTTCAATAGTTTATATTCAAGCTAATTGTCGATAAATAAAAAAAGTTTTTGACTTTGGCGTAAAATTTTATGACTCATCTTCCAATTATTTGCAGGAGATTGGCTTTCAAACCAGTACAAGCTAGGAATTTGACTATTTTGACACTAGATGCAAAGGATGCCGACCGAATGCACTGCCATGGCACAGAAGAGATTATAAAATTAATTTAGAAATATAACCAAGCAATATACTACACTACTTTCCAATATTAATTGTCAGAGACAAAGAGTGGAAGCATAGATCATGTTGAAGTTAATCAGATATAGGATACTGCAGAAAGAAATACTTTCTGTGGGGCACTGTTTCAAGTATGTAGAACTGAGGGCAATGTTGCTTATTTCTTTTCGGTTATAGTTTATGTTTTGAATTAAATATTGACATTTTTGAAAGACAAAGGTGCAAATTTTGCACGTTAAGAAGTTTTCACTGTGGTAATTTAAAGTAAACATTTATGAGAAGTAATCAAATTTAGCTAAAATTAAAATGAGAATATCTTGCTTACATAGGTCAAATTAATAGATATACCACCTTATCATACTGTTTAATACTCAGATCTTCACACAATGATTATGTTTGACTGTTGACTGTGACTGCTATGTATGCCAATCCATTTAGAGGTTTTGGGTACGTTTCCAGTTCAGTTTTTCTCAGCAGTAATCACCACTTCACTGTCGATTGCAAAATTTGATGCATTATCTTGACTAACCCATCAGTGTTACACTCCAAGTACTGCATTTTCCAATATGCATCTTTTGGAACAGGAGTTAAAACTGAGACCCTGTCTGCTTGATCAATTCGATGCAAAAAAATTCCAAGCATGCTCACCACCTCCTTCTCCAGGGAAATTAAGAATGGGCAAAAAATGCTGACCCACCAGTGGATTCCACATCCCCGAAATGAATAAAGTAACTCCATCTAAACAAATTAACTGGTCATTTACAAAATTGTTGGTTGTGGACGTCTTAGAAATATCCATTGGCCCTGGTATGTTATCTTTTGAAAAATTCTGAAACTTGGTTTAAAATGTGAAGTTAAAATTACAGAGACGTGTTCTTGAAGTACATCACAAGACACTACAGAATTGGTCTCCTGAGAGCAAATGAAAAGAACGAATAGATTTTTTTTCCGCTCAAGGAATGTTTAGATGTGAAATACACTACTTAAAAAGGATGGAAGCAAATTCCATGAAAATTTTCAAAAGGCAACATATTTGAAGAAGACAAATTTGCTGGGGTTTTGGAAAAAGCACAGGTGTGAGACTAAGCTGAACAGCTTTTTTCAAAGATTTGGCATTAGCTAAAAGACTAATTTCACCATCCATGTTGTAAGATTCTAAGATTTAATAAGGCATTCTGCAATTTTAAGTAAACATATTACTAGTTAAAAACACTTCAGATTCATTTTTCAATGTTGTTAATTGCATTCAGTTATAAAAAAAATCACAATCATTTCTATTTCTGAAATGGCACATACCCCCATGAACTCAAATATAGCAATTCTTTATCAATGCAAAATACAGAATACATATTTTAAAATGGATTTATTAGGATTGGTGGCACTACAAAATTCCTGGTACCTGTAAAACAACCTAGTAAGAGGCAGAAGGTATGAGGAGAAATTTGAGGAAAAATGTGATCCCGAAATTGCAGTTATGTTATGACATTAAGGTGATGTGAAGAAAACTTTTATACAATTAGATTTGCATAAAATCACAGGATGGTGGATAAAGATTCAATAGTGGTCTACAAAGGGGAATTAGATAAATAACTGAAGAAAAAAAATTGCAGGGATATAAAGAAAAAGGATGAAAACGAGATTAGCTGAATCACTCAAAATAGCCAGCACAGGTTCCCTGGATTGAATAACACAAATAGCATTTGTAAGTAACAAAAAGTATTCAAGTAATGTTTTGATTTGTCAATATATGTTTGAGAGATTTATTCTGTTTAATCAGGTTATATATTCAATGGGTCATATTGATGGTCTGGTAGGTTAAGTGTAGATTTTTCTGGATTAGAATCTGGTCCAAATAGCACAATACAAAAGTCCTTCCCACACCCAGTACAAGTTTGATAGAAACATGCAAACAATATTTTTTCCTTGAAAGGAAAAAAATAATCATCACACAACCACGTCTGGTCTGTGCCATTACCTTTAATTCTATCAAATATATGAATTTCATATACTTCAAACAAACCTTTCATTGTAGGTACCAGCACACTTATCAAACATGGAATTTATTTTATTCATGAACTGCTCCTATATTTCAATGAAATATTCAGCATTTTGAAAGTGTAAATATTCAGAAAAATCACCTGTATAAAAAAAAAATCACTTCAAACAATTGTGATGTTAACTCATGACAAAGTTCACTAACTACACATTTCCATTTTTCTTATACAGACACAGCATTTGCAACTTTGTAGACAAAAATGTTGCATGTATATTGAAGACCCTTGTGTACTCAACTGTGCATGTGACCTATTCCCAAAGCAGGTATTACACCAACCACCTTTACAAATCAGCAAAATGTTTTAACTTTGAAGTCCATAATATCCTTAATTTGTAATCAACACAACTCAGCATAGAAATTTACTAATCATCAACTGTGGAATGGGGATTAGAATTGGGGTGGGAAGAAAACTCTGGAAATAAACAGCAACTGAAATCAATTCAACCTTTCCCCCATTGTTATATTTGTGGTATATCATAGCAATAGCAAAGGATGTGACAGTCTCAGTTGAAGAATGATATGGTGATGGTAATGGTAAAATTTAATCTGAAAAAGAATGGCGAAAAAAAAAACTTTCCACAGAAACCAAAATTAAATAAATAGTCTGCTTTAAATTCAAATTAGGTGGATTCAAAACCTCTGACTGGAATAAGTAGCTGTAATGTTCCAATGTTCAGGTTTGCTCCAATTTCGGTTACTATGGTGTGAGCATTTTGCCAGATGTGAAGGTTTTCTCGTGCTGAATCAACAATCTTTAGCTCTGCAAAGGAATAATATTACACCTGGAGAAAGGGAAATAAATGATGGAAGTTATATTCTACACAAATATTAAATGCCCTCAATAACAGCCTTTACACTAGGTTACAGCATTAAATATTTTGGAAGGAAAATGCATAAAAATGTACCTGGTGACCTCTAACTTACAAAAGCCATCTACTATGATAAACCAAACGCACGGTTATCAGCTTGGACACTGCTACCCAACCAAACAGACAGGAGGGAAGCTGCAGCTGGAGACTCACATGGTTGTTTCCTTCAACTGGGAATCGAGGATGGCAGAGAAGGTCATTGATTTGGACCAGGAATGTCAACAGTTGGTGACTGGCGGTGGGGGTTAAATACAGAGCCACAATCAGGGGAGGAGGAGAGATGGAAAGACAGTGACTGTCAAAAGATAGGCTGTAGGCTTTCTGCAAAGGTCCAGGTGAGCGTGTCTGTTCTTTCTGCACCCCCCCAGGGATTGAAACAAGCTCATAATTTGGAGAATCAGCACATCCGACCTCCCTTTACCTGCCACATTTCTTGACATCTGGGAAACATACAAAGTAATAATAAATTTGGAATCAGGTTCCTAATTGGAATAGGGTGCCTTATTGAATATTAATTCATATTAATTGAGTATCCTGCTATTGTATGCCCTGATATCCAGTCATTAAAAAAGGAAGGTGTGTTGGGGAGGTGTTCTCCAATACTTAAGTCTTCAACTAGCTCTCCATCCATAAATGACCCTCTCCCAAAATCATGCAGTGGTTAATTCAAGACCAGAAAGTTATTTTTCAGTTTTGGCTTTTCAATTCTAGTGTGTTCACACTAGTTGAGAAAGATACTTTGGCAAGAAGTAATTTAAATATCACTAGGCTACCTTTGAGGTTATTTCCCCACAGGATGTAAATTAAAAAAAAAAAAATTTCTCAGCCAACCAAACACTCGAGCTGTGTTAGAATGCTTTTGTTCTTGTTTGGCTAGGAACAAGGGCAGATGAAAGAAATATAGGCAAAGACAGACTCTTAGTTGAGTGTTCAAACAGAAAGTTGCTGAAGTAAGCTTTCACCAGGTTCAAAATTAGCAAACAGTAGAGCTGTCTTGTTTAAGTGCTGTAGGACAACTCTCTAATGTGGAAAAGTGTACTTAATTCAAGCAGTATAATTTGTGTCATAATGAACAAAGCAAATCTTTTCATTCGAAGTAAAATAAATCAATTGACTATTAGCGTCAGGCTTTGTCTTACAAAATGTTCCTTTAGGTCCACTGACAAGACTTAACAAGCATGCAGACAAAAGACATTTTTAGTTCAGATCACAAGGAAACACTTCTACATACCTGTAGTTAGTCAGGTACTGGACAGTACAAACATATCCCTACCCACAAGAAACTCAGATAGGACTTACTGGCATCAGTGTACTTGAGAAACAATTTTAGTTTGTAAAATAGAAACTTGGCAATTGAAAGAAAAATATTTTGTTTTTAAACTAGGTCAATGAATCTGCAAATACGTAAATAAAAGAAAATACACCTCAGAATTGGTCAACTCCTACTGCTATTGATTTCAGATACTCATTTGAAAACATTGGCCTAAATCTTCCAAAAGGAAGATAGCTGTTGCTGAAGCAGAGACTGGAGTTGTGCATTGGGACCATGAGGAATTTTTGACCCAGTTGAAACTCTGATAGGTAAATATGCAGCATCTTGAATAATCTGAGCAAAGTCCCCAACTCTGGGTTAGAGTGTCTCCTCACCCACCTGACATCCCATCACCCCACCGAACTGCCAACCTACCCCTTCACTTACCATACAAATTCATCTTCTCTCAGCAGTTGCCAAAGGGGCTTTAGGATATTTGAACAATGGATTATGGCAGTTACTGCTGCAAACAGAGGTGCGGTTTCAGCGCCAAACCACTCTGCTGCTACCAACGTTGATTACTGGACTGGACTGGACTAGACTGGGCTGCTTTAGTTAGGAAAGCTCCTGGCCCAGATGTTGAGGCAGAAAACTTATTTTAAAGTTGAGTGGGCAACATTTTGGCTGATCTAAGTAGGAAAAAGAGATTCTAGTTGAGATTGGAAGTTTCAAGTGATTGTTTTTTGCAAAACAACTCAGCTGAAAGATAATTCAAGAATATTGTTTTTTTTATGACCTCAAGAAAATCTAATTCTTAGTCAGAAGTAACGTTACTAAAATGTGCTATCAAGTTCAACAAAAAGCTTCACAATAATATCTGATAACAAATAAACAAATTAGACAGAAAACCCACTCATATAAAAAGAAATAATTAGGAATAATTATTGTTTTCCAACACTGCCCACTGATTAAGAACAGGATTTTTTTTTTAAAATCAAAGAGGGCAAGATGTTCTCCATTGACTCTGAGGTTTTTCTGGAAACGCAGTGAAACTTACCCTAATAATCCTCTTCCACTCCATCGCTGAGGTGTGAGATTCATGTGTACATTTTGTCCATTTCGAATGACTGTTATGTTTAAAGGTTTCTGCAAGGAAATGTATTACTTCAGTAAGCCAAAAGTAGTAAACCAGTTTAAATTCACACTTAATGTGGTGACTTGTTGGGGGTTGGTTAGCTCAATTACTAGATATCTAAATGGCAATGGAGAGTGACCACCACCAGCATGGGTTCAATTCCTGTTCTAACTGAGGTCTCCAGAAAGATCCCACCTTCTCAACCTCACCTGACATGTGTTGACCCTCAGGTTATTCTCACTCTAATGAGACAGCAGCCCTATGATCCTCTGGCACTTTACCTTTATTACTTCATCCAAGGATATTTCAAAGTATTTTAGATAAAATTAATTATTTTAATATGCACTAATTGTTACATTAGAATAGACAGCAGCAATTTTGAAACTAGCAAAATCGTCAAAGTTAATCTGGTATTAATTGAATCAGAGATAGTAGGAACTGCAGATGCTGGAGAATCCGAGACAACAAGGTGCAGGGCTGGATGAACACAG